TGTTATACTCGCTGTGGAACTTAAGGGGGTAATCCTTCGCATTGTGTAAGAGGGCTGTTTGATCCTGTCTTCTCTGATCCTCCCCTTCTGCTGTCCTGGATTCATCTACTGATAGTACAGAGCTCTAGGAGTCGCTCTGCACATGCCCAGTTAAGTGCGTTATTCATTATATATTTTTGGGGAGTGCATGTTATCAGCACTGTCAAGACAGAGGGCCAGGGGTTATGCAGCCTCATAGGACAGTCAGAGGGATGAGAGCTCCTCTTACAAGCTTTAACCAGTACTCAGTCAGACACTGATAGAGGTCACAAGACTGCTATATACTGCTATTAGCAATATTTAGTATTTAGCTGTTTATATTTACTAAAATAATTGCATTTCCATGTGCATACTGTGGGAGACCATATATATTGAATGCAGGATCCTGGGTTTAGTAACACTTTAAAGTGGTTGGAAACCTCAGCCATGAAATCAGAACAAAGCGTATCCCTCTATGAAAAATCTGTTACATTCTCGAGAGCCCGAAACATCATTTTTAAAAAAATGCTCCGTTGTTCCTCAATCCTAAAATAAATAACCAAAAATTAAAATCGCTAAAAAATCTGACATCACATAAATAAAACAAAAAAACAAAAATTAGTGTGTACTTGTCTCGAGAGCTCGAAACATCATTTCTGTCTGCTCCGTTGTTCCTCAATCCGTATAAATCGCTCCTGACATCACATAAATGGTGACTGAGAGGGCACAGCCTGTGACAGCCTCAGCTCTGTTCCTGAATGTATCTGCTTTCCACTTTTTTTTTTTTTTTTTTTTTTTTTTTTTTTTCCCTGAACACTCAGACAAGCTGTTGAAGTTCTGGACTTCAAACATACAGTTGTGTTCAAAATAATAGCAGTGTGTTGAATAAAGCTCAAAATTCTTCTAATAGCTTTTATTTCCATACACACACAAATGCATTGGGAACACTACACATTCTATTCCAAATCAAAACATGAAGGAAAAATATATCAAATCTGTGGTGTTACTCTAAGAAAAAAAAAAATTGAAGAAAAGTGAATATTAGACTGTAAAGAAAACACTATTTTATTTTTTTTAAACTCAAACATTCACTGAACTGAAAAATGTTTGAAGATTATGCTTTTCTTTGAATCATTTAATGAATATTTAGTTGTATAAGCACTGTTTCTGAGAACTGCTGCACATCTGTGTTGCATGGAGTCAACCAACTTCTGGCACCTGTGAACAGGTATTCCAGCCCAGGATGATTGGACTACATTCCACAGTTCTGCATTTTTGATGTCACCCCACAAGTTTTCTATTGGATTAAGATCCGGGGATTGGGCTGGCCACTCCATAACGTCAATCTTGTTGGTCTGGAACCAAGATGTTGAACGTTTACTGGTGTTTGGGGTTGTTGTCTTGTTGGAACACCCATTTCAAGGGCATTTCCTCTTCAGCATAAGGCAGCATGACCTCTTCAAGTATTCTGATGTATTCAAACTGATCCATGATCCCTGGTATGCGATAAATAGGTCCAACAGCGTAGTATGAGAAACATCCCCATATCATGATGCTTGCGCACCATGCTTCACTGTCTTCACAGTGTACTGTGGCTTGAATTCAGTGTTTGGGGGTCGTCTGACAAACTGTCTCCGGCCACTAGACCCAAAAAGAACAATCTTACTTTCATCAGTCCACAAAATGTTGCGCCATTTCTCTTTAGGCCAGTCAATGTGCTCTTTGGCAAATTGTAACCGCTTCAGCGTGTGTGTGTGTTTTGTTCCCCCCCCCCCCCCCCCCAACAGTGGGACTTTGTGGGGGATTCTTGCAGATAGCTTGGCTTCACATAGGCGTCTTCTCATTGTAACAGTACTCACAGGTAACGTTAGACCTTCTTTCATCTTCCTGGAGCTGGTTGTTGGCTGAGTTCTTGCCATTTTGGCTGTTCTATCCATTGGAATGGTAGATTTTCGTTTTCTTCCACGTCTTTCAGGTTTTGGCTTTTTTTTAAAGCATTTTTGATCATTTTAGCTGAGCAGCCTATCATTTTTTTTTTCTGCACTTTTGTTTTCCCCTCTCCAATCAACTTAATCAAGGTACGCTATTCTTCTGAACAATGTCTGGAACGACCCATTTTCCTCAGAATTTCAGAGAGAAATACACTGTAACCAGCATGTACAACATTTGCTGCCTTCCTTCCTTAAATAAGGGCAAAAATTGCCACCTGTTTTTCAAAGAATGAATGACCTCACTCTACACTGCTATTATTTTGAACATGCCCCCTTCACTTAGTGATTCAATTACACAGAATCGGCAGCATGCATGTCATGACTGTTTGGTCTGTCAATGACTCTACTACACCTGCTAGTAAATTATTTGCCATGTAGAAATATCATTTCTACCAAAAACAGTGATTGATCAGGTTAGTGATGTCTGACTGCTATTTTCTACACAACTGTATGTAGAGAAGGATGCAGCTAAACAGGTACAACTTATGAGTATGTGTTTAATGAAGCGAGGCCAGTCACTTGGTATATGTAAGGGTTCACAACCACTTTAAAGTGACACGAAGTAACATTCCTTATTCCCCCCCCCCCCCCAAAAAAAATCTATATATCACGCATCCACTACTTAATGGCCCAGTAATCTAGTTTTCATGAAATTGATCATAGTGTGTGTGTGTGTGTGTGTGTGTGTGTGTGTTCTTTGTATCTTTGCTTTGTACATATCAGAAGACCCTATTATAGTATGTTTTTAGGGCCCTGGTCACACAAGCATTCAGTCTGTCTGTCCATTTTTCCAACAGATTCACAATGTGAGTCTATGGGCAGGCAGATGTAAACACTTTCATCCAAATCTGTGTATAACTGGGGAAAGTCTGCGTTCTTTTCAGTTGTGGACAGATTACACAGGTCTGCGACTAAAAAGCTGTTTAGGAGTTTTTCAATATTTTGTTTTCAGCACACCAAAATACATGGAAATTAGATGAAAATAATCAGACGTCATGATTTGCCACAAAATGCAAAATTGTCTTCAAATTTATCAAATTTTTGTTTAAATTTGGTTAAAAACCCATAATAAAAAAAAAAAAAAAAATGTAAAGTCCACATTACTATTCACATAAGTGCATTTAAGATCTAAAATGACAAAAAAACCTTAAAGGGGTTGTCCGAGTTATGTAAAATAAAATCTAGCACTGTAAATCTGATGGCCAGCAATATATACATAAGCTAAGCAAGTTTTAGGGAAAAAAAAATTCTATTTCCTTAGTTCTCTTCTGGCCCTTTATTTGCAGGTAAACAATCTGTTATGACCTTCAGTTTTATGTCTCATTTTGTAGGCAAGAAACCTTTTTTAGTTTTGTTGCCTATGACTACTCTATTTGTAGTCACTAGAATTTTTTTACTTTTCAGCATTGTTTTTCGCCCACCTTTCATTGTAATGTTCTTGTGTCCTACCTCCTTTATCATGCGCGGCAACATATTGTGCCTTTTACAGGGAACATATTTTGTTAGGTGTGTTCCTGTGAATCAGGTGTGGTTGTAACGCTTGCTGTAAAAAAAACTTCTATACCAACCTGTTTTAATTGAGATCTCATTGAGAATGGAATGCTTTATATGCTGACATTAACGTTTTCCTGCCAAACGTAAAGGTATAGGTGCATTTGTAGTGTAGATTTGTGATTGTATACCCTTTTTGTAATCACCTCAGTCTCTACTAATTGGTCTAAACTGCTGAATCTTGCAAGCAGGGAACGAGAGATGCCGAATGCTGCACATCACACGAAGCCCTGCATTTCACTTCCATGACCAAGCCCTGTGGGTTGAAATGCTTTGGGACATGGCCTGGACAGAGTCTAGGCTGAGGCCTGCTCTTTCTGGCCATGCAGGGCTGTGTGTGATATGTGGCAATCAGGACTTTCTTCCTTTTCCCTGCTTGTATGCATAGAGCTTATACAAGATAATTTACTGCCTCAACTCCCAGCAGTTGATAGTGAATAAGGGCTTACTGGAGCCTTGAGCATTGACTGAAGTTCAGCCTTGACCGGCCAGATTTCATGTCAATGTCCTTTGCTCATCAGAAGGTGGGGTGTGTAGTTTTGCCCCCCCCAACATCAACAAAAGGTGTGTGTGTGTGTGTGTGTGTGTGTGTCCCCGTCCAGGTTTTACTTTTGTAAAGTATGGCCATATATTTTTATTTCTTCCAAAAAAAAGGAAAGTAACACCATTCTACCATCCACATACTCTGTGGATGGGAATCCCTCCTGAATTATTGTACTTTGACTGTAGGGAGAATGTACTGACCAGCATCATGAGAATTTTCCAGCTGGTTTGTACACAAGTCAGTTGATCAACTTGTGTACAACCAACCTGCCCTTTCATCAGGGATCAACCTAATTTCAATCCATTGTACGGCTGTAGTTCATCCATTGACAGTTACGTGGAATGTGTTTATCACTTGCATTTCTTGCTACCTGCACCACAGAACACAGCCAACAGAGGACAAATTTTTCATGTAGCTAACACATTTCTGAATGGATTGATCTCCTGGGTCACCTGCAGCCCTCATTTACTTTGTATATTACCAGGGTGGCTTTAATGCCAAGTCCACCTAAAACCAATATTCTAATCTTTTTGGAGATTGCATGCATTTGGATTGCCTAGGTACTTTATTTATTTATTTTTTTTGTCTGGTTTGAAAGGCACAAGTCAATTTAGTTCAACCCACAGGGGCTACTTCTTCCAGGGACTCTTCAAAATTCTCAGCCACCCTAGTGGTTACTACTATTGGCATGGGTTGACCAGAGAAAGTAACAGTTTGTGCACTGTAGTCGGTGATGGGTTTTATCACCCTGGTTTCTCCAACAAAGGCTTTGGAAAAAAATTTTTTTTTTATAATTTTGTTTGATGTATTCTGTGATTGTTGCTGTCATACTATGAAGTTACCTATGTGTGGCATATATATTTAATTTTTTTTTTTTTTCCCCTACCTTATTGCAGATAAGAGAAACTGAGACAATGGACCCAAATGGTATGTTTGACCTTATGGAGTCCTCTGGGTCTCTACCTGATGATGAGGATTTGGATGACTTTTATGAAGACCTGGATTCAGATTCAGAGGATGATGAGGAAGATGATGATGATGGTTCTGCCTCTGGAGGTAAAACTTGTTTGTATTGGTTATTTAAAATTAAAGCAGATATAGAACCACCTCAGAATGAAGTGTGGGTTTTTTTTTTTTTTTTTTTTAATGACGAAGCATAGAGCTGGATAATTAGCATTTCACCAGTAAATATACTGGGCATGCTCTGTGACCCAAGAGGGGCCAGTCGCTTTGTGTCATTTTTATACATACTGACTTTTACATCTATAAAGATTTTGCACTGGTTCCTTTAACACTTATTTAAATGACTGTTTTAAGGTGTTTGTATGTAAGGGAACAGGTCCACTTAAGCAAAAAAAAAAACTGCCATGGCCAGAAAAACTAAAAGTAATTTTGTATGTAGTGTTCAAAGCATAAATTACTTTGCATTTACTTCCCTCCCTTTTTTGTATTCCTTCATTACACGTAGGCGCCAAAAGTATATCTCTGGTGCCTACTGAACATGTTGAAACATACTTGACACATAAATGCATAGGAAAGATAAACAAGGTGTGGCTATAGAATACTTGGGAAGATGTTGTTTGGTGCACTGAGAAACTTGTGTTCTAAGTAAACATGCAAGTTATCTGAAATGTTATGGGGGATCTTTAGTAGTTAGCAAAAAATGGTACAATGGTCACCCAGACCCTTTTTTTTTTTTTTTTTTTTTTTTTTTTTTTTTTTCTTTTTTTTTTTTTTTTCTTCTAAACGTTGAAGGTGCCTAGTTTTTTAAATGAGAACATTGTTAACATTTTTCACAGAGCTGTTGTGTACAGCTCATGCTTGGGGGGAGGAGAAGTATGACTGTACATATGCATTACAATTGTTGCACAGAGTTTTTACTAATGACTTGTCTATTGCAAGTACCTGTGCTTATCTTTGAGTCCTTTTTTTTTTTTGAATGATTGAGATTATCCAGTTTGAATTATCAGTTCTCTTAGTCCATTTTGAGATCCTTTTTTAATAGGTGTTTTTTTGGAAACGTGATCTTTCTACTTTAAGACTACAGAACATTTTGTTTAATCCTGTTGCCATGTCATTTGAAAGTAGTCCTGTCTGCTTACTACCCCTTTGGTTTGCTGAAGCTGGTAAGGCCTTTGAAATGCATACTGATATTTTATCTTAATCTGCTTTCCTTTGCAGATGAAATGGATGACCTTGAATCAACTTCGGACACACCCACGGTGAGTATTGAGTTTAAAATGTACTGCTGCATCGCTCCGATCCTTTGCTCAGGGGGGTTGGAACTGTTCCCTTTTGTGCACTTGTCTTTTTTATGCTTTTTTGTGTTTTTTAGGATTTGTAATGCATATGCTTATTGCATATTGTGGTGTTGTATAGTACATCGCATAGCTTAAGTTTCAAGTAGGTACATGTTGCAAATGCACATTCAACACAGATGAGGCCAGATCCTTTTCCTCAGTGTGTTCTTTAGACCTTTTGTTCAGTTTCAGATCTTTGGAAATATTGCCAGTAATTACTTTGACCCCTCAGACCATATCTTATCAAGAGTTCAGTGTGTATTTTGGGGGGGATTTAGAGGAAACTGTTCAATTGGTCATGGTTGGAGGGGGTGTCTTCCACCCCCCTCCTCCATTTTTAGTATATGAATTTACAATCCTAATTTTAAGACATGCGTTTATTTTTGACTAATGGGAAATTTGGTGTTGCTAAAACCCAGGACCCTACATTCACTATATCTGGTCTCCCAATTATTTCAGGAAATATAAACTGCTAAATATCTTTTCTCATCAGCAGTATATAGAAGTCTTTGACCTCTGTGTCCATCTAGCACTGGTTGAAGCTTGTAGGAGTTTTCATTCTGTCGGACTGTCCTAAGAGGCTGCATAACCCCTGGTGCTCTGTCTGGACAGTGCTGATTGGCTTTGCTGATCACATTCACTCTTCCAAAGGAAAAAAAACTAGCAATACACCTTAAACTCTGCTATCAGCAGATGAATTGGGGACAGTAGAAGAGGAAGATCAGAGAAGACCGTATCAAACAGCCTTTTTATACAATGTGGATGATTAACCCCTCAGGTTCCACAGGGAATACTTCCTGCCAGCAGGGAACCCTCCCTGCTAGCAGAATGCTGTCGTTTTGTGGGAGGGTTTCCTCCAACAACTATATTCCACCTGTGTAGAAGGAAAGAATTTGTTTAACGTCTGGCTTGCCTAACATGGAGCTTTTCCTACCTACTTTGCTGGTAGGTGGGACGATTGTGGAATTAATTTTGTTTTTCTTCATGACTTACAGACTACTATGGGTAACAAGATTCCAGAAAACAACTTCAGAGACTCGAATAATAACGATATTGATGTCCTCCATATTGACAATGATATCATACCCAGAAAGAATGTCTTACCTGATGAAGCTGAACCATCGAATGAAATCTCAATGGCTAGCACTGCCAGCAGCTTCTTCAGCAAGACTGAAGTTATAGTCGGTAGGTTCATTTTATTAACCCACTTCCTTCCATATAGTAGGTTTATATTTGTATACAGATGGCTGTAAGAGTTCCTGTTTGTACTGTTCTGCTAGCTGACTGCCAAATAACTGAACAGGCATTTTATTATGATTGTTTTCCTGATTGGCAGGAAGGAAAAGCAATGTGAATTGTACATTCTATTTTATCAAGAGGCATTTCCTTATTACAATAAAGGCTGGGGGGTGGGGGGATACAAAACAAATCTTTTTGTATTTGACTTTTTATAAAAAAAAAAAAAACCCCTATCATACGCAAAATAGAGGCTATCATTTCTCTTCTGTGCAAACATGCTAGCTTCCTGATTGTCTGTCTGGTTAGGCTAGTTTATCCAAAGGAGGATAAACCTAATTTGGTGTTAACTCAATTTTATGTGTTGGTGTTTTTTGCCAAAATTTGTGGTGCACATGTTTTAACATGTCTGTAACTTTAATGAGCTTTTTTTTTTTTTTTTTTTCCTTTACAGCTCTGGTTGCTGGTACTCTTGTTGGCCTGCTGTTTGCCATCTTCATCATTGTTTTGTTGGTCATGCGCATTAGGAGGAGCAAAGGAGACCTCACCTATGATACAGTGAAAAAGCCCATCTATAAGAAGGCACCTACAGTTGAGGCGTAGAGGTCTTTCAAATCTTTTGACTGAACTTTTTTGAAATTCATTACGGACCCAAGAAACACCTTTTTGTATAAAAATGCATTCCTATTACTGCTATCAAGAGGTTTTTTTTTTTTTTTTTAATATAAGAAATCAATTGACTCTTACCTAGTTAAAGTACATTGCAAGGATGCAAAATAAGCTGTTAAGTGTTGACTCTCTAAAGCTATGATGGTTGCCATAGTCTCTAGACTGGCAAACATATTTTTTTTTTTTTTTTTTTCTTCCTTCCCACCCCCCCACCCCCCCCCCCCCCCCCCCCCCCCCAGATGTTCACGTATGGGAACTGTTGCAAAACAAGAAGTTGATGGTAAATGTTAAGGTACACTACATAAAAGGTGGACTTTATGTTCATTATGCATAAACACTAATGCACATATACTGTATTTAACTTTTGTCACAGAGACTTTACACTGCAGTTTTTCTAGGATCAGCAATCATTATATATATATATTTTTTTTTGTAATAAAATGCATTTTGGATTTTATTTCCTTCCACTAAGGCCAACCTTTGTGTTTTTTTAAAAAAAAAAAAAAAAAAGGCAAATGTATAGTATTCCAATATCACATCTGGGTTTCGGATTGCCTTCTAAAGCGGGGTTCTCCCTGTGGAACAAGCTCTGATTTCGGAATATTGTGCATGACAGACACCATACTGCAGGGAAAACCTGGTCCTGCAGCTTTTTTCCTTAGATCTGTCTAGCTGTGATATGGGCTATTGTTGGGCAACCTTAGCTATTGAGGAATTGTGTTGTCTAGTACCTTACAGGCTGGCAAGGCACACTGGGAGTTATCTAGCTGGATGTCCATGTATTGCTTTCTCTTGGTGTGGAGCAATTGAGCTCCTTTATGCGGAGGTCCCATGATTGTTAGTAATATTGAAAAGAGCAGTCTCAACAAGTAGGATGTTGGATTACTAGGAACACAGATTTTGTGGCTCTGACTCGTGTTGCGTACCCCCAGTGTATGCCAGTTCCCATTTTTAAAGGGATAGTGTGTGTGTGTGATGGACTCTGTACCTGCAGACTTTCAAGTCTCTCCATGATTGCTGTTTTCTTTCAATTTTGTAAGCATCACAGTTGCCAAATCTAACAGACAACTGTTTTCTGACCAAGGGAAAAGCTTGCTATTTTGAATGTCCTTATGTTTGGTGGTTTTTTTTTTTTTTTTTTTTTTTTTTTTTTTTTTTTTTCCCCATGCCTAGAACGAATGTGGGGTTGTGAGTGTGGGGAAAATATATATGTGCGAAAAAAAAAATTGATATGGTCTGGTACAGCAGACTTTTTTTTTTTTTTTTTTCCCCATTGGATGGGGGGGGGGGGGAATGGGTTTTTTAGAATTTTTTGACATTTTAAGATTTTGAAGTGAATATTTAAAGAGTATTTGCATTCTTTATATTCCTTTATAATGTTAGGTTAAATAGTGTTTTAATATTGATCGTGTTTTGTAGAAATTTTGTTGCAAATAAAATTCTACTTCGTAATTTAACAGCCGCTCCCCCCCCAAATGTTTTATATTAACCTGAGTGTGTATGTGTATATATGTATATTATATTTTTATACAAAGGGCATTTTCTTATTGTGAACCTGTTGCCAAAACTATTTTGATGACAAACTCCTTCCCCGCCCCCCCCCCCTTGCTTTTTTAAAATGTAATCTATTTTTTTTTTTTTTTTTTTTTTTTGGCTATGGTTTTGAAAATTATAAAAACTGAGCTGTATGCATACTCTGTAAATCACCCCAGTGAAAGTCTGCCAAAATTCTGTAATTTTTTTTAAGTGCATCAGCTCTAGGCCAAGTAGATGTCTTCCAAAAAGTCTTAACACAGCTTGTCACCAAAATAAGTGTGACAGGTTCACTTTAAATACATGTAGGGCAGTTGCTAAATTGCATTTCCAGCTTGTAAGTGCAGCCACAATGGTTTCCTTGTGTACAACTGCTCTGTACATCATTCAGTTCTTCTCACAGTACAGTTTCAAGTTTTTTTTATATCTTGTAAAATATTTTTATGTAGCAACTATTAAATATTTATATTTCACAACTTTAATAGCAGTTTATTTATTTTTTACTTGCAGACATTTTATTTAAAGCAGGTTGTTTCAAATATGAGATGTGACTCAACTTTGTGGGACTTTTGTGTTTTTACTCCCCCTGCCTCCCAATACATTTACCCAGTGAAGTGACTGGCCTCAGGTGATGGTTTAAACCCTCCTACAGAAGCTGTACCTGTTTATGAGCAGTCTTCTCCATCTGTTCAAAGTCCAGAATTTATACAGCTTGTCTGAATGTTCAGAAAAAGGTGTGGAGAGCTAATACATTCTGGAGAGCTCTGAAAGTGCACCCCCCCCCCCCCCCCCTCAAGCTGCTCACAGGTAGGGCTGAGGCTATCAATCTGCTGGAGGTCCCTCCTCTGTCACTTTTTTCCTGCCTAAATACCTTATGCAGCCACTACATTCAAGGATTGGTAATCTGCAATATGGTTTTGGGTTTAATATAGCTTTAAAATTGAAGTGAGGGTCATTTTAATGCCTACAAACCTCTGGGTGGAAAGGGGAACCTTTTTTTAGTTTCAGTTGCAGGATTTTTCACTTCTGTTTAGTTTGAAAGTAACAGGGAAATGTGGCCCTTTTACACCACCCCTGCAGCCTCCTGGGATACATGTCACACATTTGTAGCTGCTGACTTTTTTTTTTCTCCTAGAGTGAGCCTCAATGCTTTCTGGGACTTCTAGACCTTCTGCCAGATATGCATAATTGCCAGTCTCAGCCACCTAACCAAGGTGTGTCTAGAGGCATTGCAACCCTTTCTCGCCCCTGAAAAATACAAAAAGGAATCCGACTTCCTAATAATCCGATCTAAATAATTAGGAAATTTCACACGTTAGATGTTAAAGAGGTGTATTCTTTTCTTGGTCATGAAGGATTAGAACAAAATGTCAGTAATTTCTTGGCCCTGATAAAATGCTAGTCCACATTTTGGTAAAACATCTGGGTCTGTACTGGATGTTACCCTATCTGGAGGAAAGGGGCTCACTCACCCTCCTTGCTGTGGTAATGGCTACCAGAAATACTGTCTTAGGAGGCAAATTTCTGAGCAAAGGCATTAAGCACTGTCGGGTCCCATTCAGGAAATGGCTGCTCCCTCTCTGGCTTTTGTCTGGCCGAGGACTTAAAAAAAACCTCACCATGAGCTTGCCCCTGGCCAAAGGGGACTCCTGGGATGTGCTGAGACCTGCCACTTTGTCTGCCCCCAGCCGGAAGGAATTCTAGGGCCAACACTAAACTATGCACTTTTGAGAGTCTGAACACATCACCTGATAATGTTTCCAAACCTTTAGGATAAATTGAACAGGTTTCCTTTTACTTTTTAAGAGGGTTATTGCTACCCTAGAAAAAAAACCCTTTCCTCAGCAGCTGTTTTACAGACACAAAGCTGCTAGACTCCACCTGGGGGCATAGAACTGGACCCTGCAAGAGAAGATCCTTGGCATGGCAACATCCAAGGAGGACAAGTTGCCAGGGCCACGAGGGTCAAAAACCACGCCTGCCTGGGCCAGTGCAAGGTTATCAGGGAAGTTCGCTTGGACCTGAACTTTCTTACTACCGCTGGTAGTAACGACACTGGAGGGAAATGGTAACACGGGGAAAGCTCCACTGCTGTGTTAGTGTGCACCACCAATGCCCCTTCATGACAGTTCATGGAAAAGAACTGGACCTAGGCATTCTGCCCTGATCCAAATAGGTCTATGAACAGAGTCCCCCATTTCTCTATTATGACCTGGTAAACCTCCTGGCTGAGCATCCGCTCTGATTCCCTCAACTTCCTCTGGCTGAGAGACTGCCACCTGGTTCAGATCCCCCTTCAGGTGGACTGCAGATAGTGAGGCTACAGTGGCCTTGACCCAGCTGAGCAGATCTAAGGCAAGGATCCACAGGGCTCTGCTTTGGGTTCCTCCTTGTCTGTTGAAATACGCCATGACAGAGGAGTTGTTTGAAAGCATCAGCACGTGTTGCCCCTGGAAGGCTGAGAAGGCCTGCATCACTGCTTTCAGTTCTTTCCAGTTTGGGGATCTGGCCAGCTCTTCTGAGAGCCCTGTGCCACAAACTCCTACAAGTGGGCTTCTCAGGCACTTGCATCTGTTGTCTCCTTGGAGATGGGAAGGGTCCATATCAGCCCATGAGTTAAGTTGGTTGACCTCCTTCACCACCAGAGTGTTCTCTTCACCCAGGAGGAAACCTGTACAAGGGAGTCCAGAGACTCCTGACTGATCTCAGATATCCAGAATGAACAGCTGGAGGGACCCAAAATGCAGCCCTGTTCACTTCCCTGCTGGGATAGATGAAGTCAGGAGACCTAACACCAACATGGCCTTTCTGAGGGACACTGTCTGACTCCCTAGCAGCTGCTGGATTGCCCTGTCCAACTTTAGAATATTCTCCTGGGATAGAAAGGTTTTCTGAAGGGTGGAATCCATAACCTAGCACACCATCCTTTGAGCCAGGACCAAATTTGAATTGGCTAAGTATAGAAGCCAACATAAATTCTCCAGGTGTCTCATCACTAGGTCTATGTCCTGTGTCAACTGCTTCTCTGAATATGCGAACAGAAGATCATCCAGGTATGCCACCACTGAGACTCCTCTTAGTCGAAGAGACACCAGGTCCTTGGCGATGACGTTTGTGCAAATCCTGGGTGAGGAGGAAAGCCCAAAAGGCAAGGCTCAAAACTGCAGTTTGACTATTCCCCTGGGGCCCTGAATTGCCAACCTGAGGAGCTTCTGAAAGGGTTCCACAATTGGGATGTGCAAGTAGGCATCCCTTAAGTCTATTGAAGCCAGAAAGCAATTCGGGGGAAGAAGAGACCTGATTGAAAATATGGAATCCATATGGAACTTCTTGTATTTTATGGACTTGTTGAAAGGTCTGAGTTTCAGAATGAGCCTGTACTTTCCCAAGCGCTTTCTGAC